TTCATGAGAAAACCTTGTCAGAATAGAACTGAAAGCCTCGGGATTATATTTCAGTTGCAGCTGTCCGGATTTTTTGAGGACCTGTAATTCAAATGTAGGACTCAGGGGACGTCCCAGAACCCGAATATAACACACACTGCGGCATGCAAATGATATACCAATTAGATCCAATGGTAGCCTCCAATTTTCATTATATTCTTCCTATAACATGTACATGAACATGACCACTTATTTATATTCTTTCAAGATCAACTAGAAACAGATTTTGCAACTCAGGCACTTATATTTATGTCCCCCCACTCGGCGTGCAAATTCACCAAGCATTAATCTCCATAACTACTGCTTTATCATGATCTCGGAAAGAAGAATAATCCGACGGTTTCTTCTGCACAAAATCTCAACAATTAATAAATCCTAATTCTGATACAAAGAGGGGAAAATAATGGACTAATTGATGGGACTCACCATATATAGAATAAAATATCAATTTCTTCTCTCTGAGCCCTCCCCAACGGTTCGATCTGCAAACATCCATCAATACAAAGAAAAGGTTCTGACAACTTGAAGTGCTGCAAGTGATTTTCCTGTTTGCAGATGAAGAGTTATTCAAGCATGATTCTTGTCGAATAAGCAATAGGTTATGGTTTCTCTCTTAATGCACCTGAAGTCAAGGAAATGGTCGCCATGAAGAAAAAGTTGAAAAAAAGAAGAAATCAAATTACATTTTGAGTAGGATTATTAAGCGTAAACAATAAAATCTGTGACAGAAGTAATCTTCATCGATACACGAATGTCAAAACAAATACTTGGGACTTATATTAAAAAATCACAAGGTTCTGGCCAACTACGGAGCGGATTATCCAAGTTCTTAGCAATTCCTTTAAGTAGCAATATAACATGCCAATGGTTAAACCTCCAACATCCTTTTCCCTGGGAAAGTCAACCCAAACAACAATAACTAAAGTCTAATTCCCAATAAATTTGAAAATAGCCACATGAACCCTTGTCCACCACTTAATCTGGTTCTACGCCCACGAGTTGTTTATAAAGACTCTCATGTCATAAGATGTGACAGTTTTAAGTTCATTGTCACCAGGACAGAACTAATATGCAGACCCAATGAGAGCGAAAAGAAAAAATAAATTATAACAGGAGCAAAATTACCTAATATTCGCATATATCTACTTCAAAAGGTCACCTGTGTCATAGGGAACTCTGGTGAAGTGTATGACCATGAAACTTGTCTTCGGCGGGTTGTTGCAATGGTAAATGCCAGAAATCAATCCCATTCTTCCTTAAGGGTTTCAGACATTTGAAATCGCACAGCCTTTGCGGAGTACAAGGGACTTCCAGGCTTCCAATACACTGCAGGGTAATGCAAAAGACAGGTAATGACGAGCACCTAATAGTTTCAAAACATGACATGAATATAAAAAGGAATGCTAAAACGAAAAATCAATGAAGAAAGGAAGAGATTATATTTTAAGAAAGCTGAGCAATCACCTTCGAAAGGCCGTAAATCAATTTCAGTAACAACACAGACATCGGCAGTTAATTTGTATATTAATGTCTCAGGCACATCAGGGTTACTCTTGTCCTTTACTTAACCAGTATGAACCTCTCCACAGATATTTGTAGATCGGAAACAGTATATTAACTACGCTTTCTTCTGGATCACGATCTGTACTGGAAGCACCAATTACACAAGCTATGCAATCCTTTGGGTTATCTTTAGACTTTACGAGGGCCAGAACTAGAGAAGCATAGACATTATGATTCCTCTGAAGAATCTTCCATTCCATGGGATTGCTAGATTCTACGTCCACTGATATTGTTCCATTATTTGGTCCAACTATTTGATCAAGATCGGAAATATGAGGAAACGTTCTCAGACACAACTGATTAGAAAGTCTGTTTGCAATCACTGCAATAGAATTGACATTATCATTTGCACAGACACTATTCAATTTTTCTCTTTTATGAAATGAAATGAAGAGGCGCCAAATCTTATGTAAAATAACTAGGATTAAGACATAGAAAAATAATTATAAAGGTATCCAACATTTACATATACAAGGGCATTATCATTTTTTATAATTGATTACAAACATTTGTAGAAGATAGCAATGGTCTATTGAAATCATGTCAAACTGAATGATCATGGATGCATGGAAAACATAAATAGGGGGAAGTTAGCTTAGGCAGAAATTCTGTTCTGTCCGTTGAAAGTAGAATGTAGGGATGACAAAAATCCTAAAGACCTGCATGAATGAGGTCAAATGGTATTAGTAAGCGAGGACTGGGGCCGAGACAGAGCAAAGGATTGACCCAAGAAGCAAGGAAAAAAATACCCCCTCTCAATGTTGCACATTACCATTGTGATTATTATTGTCAGTTTTGCCGAAACCAGTTATAATATCTCGTCATTGTCAAACGAATTTTAATTTGCAGAGCATTACGCCCACTCCAACCACTTCTCCATAACTAAAGATCAGTAATTATACAAACCATCATATTCTAGAGAGACATGAAAATTATAGTGAATTTCTCAGATCCGCGAAGGACGTGCTCTCCAAAGATGCATACAGCGTGCCCCCTACTCTGCCTTTGCTAATTATATCCTCTAAGAAGCTAATCATATCTCTATCCATCTACAGTACCACAACTCTGCCAAAAGAATATTAACTGACTCAGCACCACTGACTGAGGAATGCTATTTAGAAAACCTAATTCTCCCAGCCGCGTTTCGTTCCACTCCATCCTAGTCTGGGCTTGCAACCCTATCTTCAAATTGGTGTTTTTCGGGTTTAGTTCAATGTACCTTTCTCTATCAAACAACAAAATCAACCGACTCGGTTGCTATTCAATCTTATCCACAAAGAGCAAGAAACGGTGATGATTTCTA